AAATAAATAACATTAAAAAAAGTAACATCAAAAAATAAGAAAAAAGAAAATGAAATGAGCCTCAAAAAAGAACAATAACCTAGCCAGATATTTAGTATAAAATTATTTTATTTTTATAAAAAAAAATTTATGGACGAGGCAGATATGGAACAAGAGCAAGACAATTCCTTTACCTCTATAAAAGATTACTTTATAGACACTAATAATTCTAAGCGCAAATGTTTGTATTGTAATAAAATTTACAGTCTCCATACGGCTACAAGTATAATATATTTCTAAAATATATTTTTGATAAAATATGATAAAATAATAGGAAAATAAGCAATAGGTGATGATATGTAAGTTCTATTTTCAATTTCATAAAACTTATAATTAACTGTAATAAATTTGAAAATGTTTATATAAATTGTTTAATAGGTTAATATAAAATAAATTACCAAATATATAAATCCTATATTAAAAATTTTTAATATTTTTTAGCCAACCTTATAAATCATATAAAAATATCGCACCCTAAATTCATTATCCAAACTAAAGAAATAATGCCCAAGCATTTATCGGGCATAAGAAAACTTCAACCAGAAGAAAACAAAAGATTAAATAAACTAATACTCAGATGTATTATATTTAAAATAATTTAGCATTTAACATATTCGACTCAATTGAATTCCGGGATATATTTGCTTTTATATTTAAAAATGAAAAAATTTGGACACGACAAACAGCGAAAGTATATTTACATTCGATGTATGAAACATCCAAATTAAAACTAATAGCTAAATTAAAAAATGTACAAAGTAAAATTTCGCTTTCAACCGATATTTATACAGGAATCAATAGTATGTCTAACTGTTCTATTATGTACACTATATTACAAATAATTGGAAATTTAAAAACTATCTTTTAGATTTAATCGAACTTCCTCATCCGCAAAGTGGGCAAGATATAGCGAATTTTATTAAAATCTCTCGAAACATTTGAAATTCAAAAAATGTTATAGCATTAACTTACGACAATGCTAGGAATATTATCAATGCAGCTGCTATAATGAGTAATCATTATAAGGAAAAATAAAATATGCCCTTCTATAGTAATAGATGCCTGGCGCATGTTATAAATTTAATTGTTAAAGAAGGGCTTAGTATTTTTGAACCCAAATTAAAAAAAATACACAAATTGGTGAAATCACTTCACCTTTCGCCCAAGCTAATGCAAAAATATCTCGAAATTTCTGGAGGCAGAAGATTACCACTCGACGTGGTAACTAGGTGGAATTCTAAGTATCTCATGATTTCTTCAATAAATAAGGTAATTTAAACATAATCTTAAATGCTATTAATATAATATATTTTATTTTAAAGAATTTAGAGGCTATTAAACGATTAGGGGAAGAATGTCTTCCCAAAGATGAATTTTATCTTAATATCAATGAGGAAAGATATTTAAAGGAAATTGAAACCTTCCTTAAACCATTTTTCAAGATTACTTGTGAAGTTTCTTCGGAAAATACAACTATTGGGACGGCGGCTTTATTCGTCGCTTCAATAGGGAATTTCTTAGATGTAACATTTAATTCACATGCTAATGATGATATCAAAAAGGCAGCTAAATTAATGCTGACCAAATGTAAAGCCTACGAAGGCTTATTTGGTACGCTTACAAATTACATATCTAGCTTCCTAGATCCCTAAAAAAACAAAAATATATGCCAAAATCTATCTTAAATAATAAATATGACGAAGAATTTAAACAAATACACAATGCTTATTCCTGGCCAGCATATCAAGCAACGGTATATGAATTTACGGATCACATTGATTCACAACCCTACTCAGTTATTATGCATAATAAGCTGCGAAAGTAAATATAAATATTTAGAAATTTTTTTAACCTTGTATTTTTATATTTATTTTCAGAGATGCTATCGATAATCCAGACCCCATGAGAGATGAGATCGTGGAATATCTTAAGGAACCCGTTGCGCCAGCAAATATCTTGGATTGGTGGGCAAAGAACGTCACTATATATCCCACTTTGGCGTTAATGGCTAGGGACTATTTGGCTCAACAATCTACAAGTGTAGCAAGTGAGAGGACCTTCAGTAAAGCTGTTGATTGTATGACTAAAAAAAGGAATAGAACGGCTTCAGAAACCCTCAAAGAATGTCTATGCCTAAGTTGTTGGGACGTAGATCTATTGGAATAATGTAAATATTATTACATACTTTGTTGTGATTGTGTTTAGACCATATTAACATATATAATTAGTCCGAATAATGTTTTTGTAAATTTTAAACAAGACTTTTACTTGCCCTCTTAAAAAATTGGTAAAATTTAATGATTTTTTAATTTTTTCAATATATCTTTATATATATTTTGAAGCTTTCCTAAAAAAAAAAATTTTGCAAATGAAGATTGAACTGACATTGTAATTATAAAATTTAACTCATATGATTTATAAAGATTTAAATAAATAAAATAAAAATATTAGTTATAATTTATTTTAATAGACAGGCCCTGGTTCGAACTAATTACTGTTTTGAAGAAATTAATAAATTAATAAAATTCTTAAAATGTAAATAAATTTTAGTGAATAAGGCATACGCGATATACCGAAGGTCAGGACACAATTTTTTGAGGATAAAAATATTTTGGGGTTCATAAATTCTTGGTTTTTAAAAAAAATATATCAATTAAACATCTTAATCCTCAGAATTTGTCTCTTAATTACCTCAATTTAAATCAGGAAGAGCTTAGGCAAAATTATATGAGATAATTTCCATATATAACGTTTTTTTCAAACGGTTTTGGGAAATGTTACTAGAAACCTCTTTATTTCCAAACAGGATTAATTTTAGGAATTGATTTTTTCCATTCATGTTATCAAAATTTCCGTTAAAAAGAATTTAAAAATCATAAAACTTAATTTGGTTATCTAGCAGATATTTTTCTCTTAATATTGTACAAAGTTAAAAATAAAATGTTAAGATCCAGACTAAACTTGAGTCGTGAACTAGTCATAAACTTGAGTCGTGAACTCGAGTTATGGTGAACTCGAGGAGTTATGAATTTGAATCGTGAACTCAACAGGTTATCTTAAATTTTATGAAACTTGATTACTTATATAGTGTTGTTAATTGGTTGTGGCTCTAAAAATCTGCTATGAGCACGAACCCCGCACAGATCCGTGGTTCAGGCCCATATATTTTAATTTAAGTTGAACTTATTATAGTATATAAATATATGGTTATTAGAGATAAATCGATTGATAATTAAAATACCTATTGAATAGGCAAAAAGTCAAGCGCCACTTCTCGATGAGTGAAGTTATTTCTACGTAGGTCAGGAATAATTTTATCAAAATCAAATATTGATATGATAATAGATGGGTATCAAATAAATATAGTTTTAACTACCTTTATATGGTGTATATTAATTTGACCTGGGAATAAAAAATAAATATGGTTACTCATATTTGTTCGTGAAAATTTTTTTTTAGCATTGCACTTAATGGGAATGTCTGGATCTTAACATTTTATTTTTAACTTTGTACAATATTAAGAGAAAAATATCTGCTAGATTACCAAATTAAGTTTTAAGATTTTTAAATTGTTTTTAACGGAAATTTTGATAACATGAATGGAAAAAATCAATTCCTAAAATTAATCCTGTTTGGAAATAAAGAGGTTTCTAGTAACATTTTCCCTAAATTTAACTTCCATTTCCATCTCCTTTAAAAATTTGTAGGCAATATTATACATTTTTTTATAAAATTATTTAATAAAAAAATCTTAAATAAAAAAAAAGAAATTAATTTTATAATAAAATAAAAAACCAACCTATCTGGCACTTATTTAAGTAGTGGGGGATTTTTTAAATTATTTTTGCATCTAATTCATTGTTTTATTTATTTTATTTTTTCAACTCCGCTTTGAAATTATTTTTATTTTATTTATTTAAATCTTTATAAATCATATGAGTTAAATTTTATAATTATACAACACGACAGAAGCATTGTAAATTTATTTTACGAAAAACATCAATGTATATTATTTAATATAAAATTAATTAGGGAAATTAATTTTTTATGAAAAATAACTTGATAAATCAAAATATTAATTTTTTTTCAGTACCTTAACCCATGGCAGTAAATAATATTGTTTAAGTAGCAAAAATATTTTCTTTTATTTTTTGAATACCATTAAACCTTAATAATATATTAAAAATAACATTATATGTACAAAAATAATAATTTATATTGTTATACAATGGATTACTTTCTAGCTTTCTAGAATTATAGAAGACCTCCACAAATAATTTTAAGTAACCTGCATCTATATACTATTATCTTCATTTAATCTTAATAACCATCAAAAAAATTATCTAACTAAAAAATAAAAATTCAGTAAAATCTCAAATAATTATATAAAAATTATATAGAAAGAGCATATGGCTATTTGAGCGGGTTTAAATAAATGCCAGATAAATTTGTCTAGGTCACACTTCATTTTGTTAAGGATGAATTTATTATCTTTCCATATTCGAAATTAGCTTTAAAGTTTTTGTTTTGAACATATATCTGATCGTGAATACTAATTTAGTGTAAATTACAGATTGAACTAGTGTATAATTAATACAGCTCCTGGAGTAAAATAGAATCTCAATTTATAAGATATAAAGCATCTTTATTAATGGTTACCATTTTATACACTTGTGTATAGAGTTGTTAATTAGTCGAGTTCTTCCTACACATCTAAATGTCTTAGTCCATTAAAATGACTAATTTAGGTGGCTAAGTCGACTCCATTAGTCTGTTAATTAGACGTGATTATTTTAGATAAAACTTTCCTGTCACAACCCCACAGAAGGTTTACCAGACTTTTTAAAATATTAAACGGTAGAACATTATTTTTATAATCTTTGTTATCTAAAGCATAAATCAAGAAAATTTTTTAACGATAAAGATAACAAATTGTTTTAACATTAAACTATTATAAAATATTTTCGACGATATGCAAAATTCATTAGAAAACGAATCCTATGTTCTTACAAGCTTTCATCGCCGATGACGACATTAGTTCGAGCTTATCCTATGGGACGCTATCAATATCGAATAATTCTCATATTTATCATATTCGCGATTTTCTATATATTACTGATAATAATATCACAAATGTGAGTATCTAAATAATCTTAATTTTTTTTATCTTCTTGCGAATCTAATTTTTTTTAATAGCTAAGATTTATGCAGCCTTACGGAAAATCGCTTCAAATTTATGAATTCCACGAATCATATATAATTGTAAAAGGTTTCTTGAAAATTCCATTCAAAAAATTGAGATCCATATTTTACAACTTATTAAATAACAAGTCAGGTTACATACCTAAAGTTAATGTCATTCTGCAAAATTGTCAGAATAATAGCACAAGTAAAATATAATTTTCATTTTTAATAACTGATATGGAAATTTATCATATATAGTCTTTAGCTTTCCTAACTTTAAAACCCCTTTAGGAAAAAGTAAAAAAAAAATTTTGAATATAATTTAAATATATATATTTGGTAGCTATTTACATTGATCAACCATGTGTTTTTGATTATGTGTTAGTTAAAGGAATTTATAATCTAGTTATCTCCAACGAAAATTCGACAATTTTTATAAAGTTATTATAAAAATATATAAGATTCATAAATATTAATCCTAAAAATTAATAATCATTACAGAAATCTACCCTTACATCCTTCCAATAATGTAGACACTTCCAACCTATTCATAGATTTAATATATACCGTTATTCAATACAATAAAGGCACACTTAGTTACAGTTTGATCATGTTCGAGATACCACTTAAAGACATGAAGCTGGCGTTGAATTATTGGGGAAATTTTAATATTTCTGAAAATATGGAAGTCATAAATTAATATATTTTTAGCTTAAAATTATAATTTAAGCTTAAGCTAGTTTAGATGTGTGAAACATAGAATATTTTTTCCATTATGGTTCGATAATAACACATCATTTTAAGACTAGAATATACTTTTATTTTGCAACATTTTACAGTTATAAATCTTAAGAGAAGATCCCGAATCTGTTACAATTCCAAACTCTGTTATTGAGACACATTAATAATTTCTTTATAAATATTAAGTTATATTTATTTAATATATAATTGTTATACTACTTCGTGAAAAAAATTCCTCTATCGCGGATCTATCAAATAATATCGTATTTAAAAAAAAATATTTAAGATATAAAATTATTATTGACTGATAATAAAAAACTTTCGAATAAATTTAATTCAACTTACTTCGCATTTAATATTTATATTTGCGGCGTTCAAAGTCAAAATAAAATTTATTTTGTTTTTGAAATTTTACAAAATCGAGTTTGGCCGCTTAATGTATATATGGGGGAATCATATATTTCTTTTTAAATTACCTCACCCTTTAAGGTATATAATTCTAAAATTATTGTTATAATTTATCTATTTAATTATACATTAAAAATCGATCCTTTTTGGTATAAGGACGAGCGAATAATGAAGAAAGAAAACCTTTAAATAAGATACATTTTAAGGACAGACTGAACACGATACAAATTGATATTATAATTTTTAAATGCCTATAATATCTTTATATTATCGCAACATATTAGATGGAAACAAGGGTGAACTTTGACTTATCTGCTATTTGCTCTATTATCCTTTTAAATATCGATAACGGTTTAGAATTTTATATTAACCTAGGAATGAATCACTATGTAATAAATTAATTGAATTCCCAAGATTATAATAATTTAATTCAAAAAAAATTTTTTTTTTATCTAAATTATTATTTTAGGCAATCATTCAACAAAAAAATTTAACGTTGACTCTAAAAATTTATCATTACAATGGCACTGTAGAAAATCTATCCAAAAATGATTTCGTAATTTATGGGATAACATGTAGAGAACTCAATTTGTTAGAAGACGTAAACACAATTATAAACGTGAGCATTTCTTCTACTTGGAATATTACGAAGCGTTTGTATACTTATAATATTTATAATTAAATGATTGTTGGAATATTTAAAAAAAAATTTAAATTTGGCCTAATTATGATTATAATACAATAAAATTTAATCAACTGGAAAATCTATTATTGAATGAACTTTTTAAATTTAGAAAAAAAATAAATTGGAAGTCGATAAAACTAATAGTGAATTTATTATCTAAATCTCGTTATACTGATACTCGCAGATATAAAAATCCCCAGATTTAAGTCCTAATAATCCTAGATTCTTCTTTCATTAAGAGATGCTAAAATATGGTTAGTTTGGTCCTGGCAAAAAGTATGAATAAGATATTTTTAGGGAATATTTGCATATTTTGTCATTATCTGAGCCTTGTGAAGTTTAAAATATCTTTGTTGATTTTAGAAGCGTATCAAAACAGAGAGTAAGTCTCATGAAAGAAATTCTCTGTTTTCCTAATGATAATAAGTTCCTAAATAGTAAGGAAACCTGCAGAATATAGTTTTTGCGAATTTTTATTCTGTTTAAAAGACATTCATATTTATCTGTTAACATAGTATAAACCTTAGGCTTAAAAAACAAAAAAATAATTATGTAATCAAAAATAAATTTAATTCCATAATTAATATAGGAAAGAATTGCAAAAAATCTCAAATATAATCTAAGCAATATAGGAGATGTTAATGATAGTTTAGAGTAATATAAAATATTTTTTAATATTCATGTTTAATCTTCGTAGTCTACCCTAATTTTTCTTTCCTTGTGGGAGTTTTTTTTAAAATTAATAATTAAGGGTTAAAAAGAATGTAAAATATAGAATATAGCAAGAAATATTAATAATAATTATTGGGTAAGTGGTAAAACGAGTATTATCCCACATGAGACATTTACTTAAAGCCTTATTTAATAATATTTTATCAAAGTGACAAAGCGATTTTTGATTAATAATCTAATAATGTCGTTGTAAATGAATCTTTAAATTTTATTAATTTAAATGCTTGTTATATTAATTATAACGAAAGATTATTTTCTTTAAACTAACATATTTCGAATATGGGAAAAAAAATTTTATATCCCAATAATATAGTAAATGTTTAGAATAATTTATGAGAGATTGGGAGGGGGCGAGATTTTGATAGTACTTTTATACAATTTTCCAAATATTTTCGGATTCATTCTTTAAAATTATTACTTACTATATATTATACATAATTTTATCATTTCAGCCTTATATTTATTAATGTAATAGTGGTTCAATCACTATTTTATTTGGGTTTTATATTTATTTTAAAATATCTTGTGTTATTGTGTTATTTATAAATATTAAAAAATTTACAACAAAAAAAATAATATATATTTTGCTTTATTAAACAATGTTTTTTTTATCTAATTGATTAAATTAAAGTTAACGAACTATAAAAAAATCAAGCAATTTTAAATAAGAACTTATTATTTAATAATTCAAATTATTCAAATAACATCATTTTAAAATATTTAATTTATTATTAAATCTAAATTCATGATGCTTTTATTGTGGATACTTATTAAGATACGTACAACATCCACTATTGGTAATTATGATTTTAGTCATTATAACACTATAAATTATATATATATAATTTATAATATTATGTAGACTTTTGTCAAAAGGAATTTCCAATTGTTTACGACTTCAATCTCCATTTTAACTCTTCACAGTATTTATTTTATATATATATTAAACGAACATATTTTTTTAAAATTTATTTACATTAATTAAAATATTCTAAGATACAGAGCTAACAATTTAATAGATTTGGTTGAAGATTTAGTCATTTGGGAGATGCCACAAATTTTATATATTGATGATCCCCTATTATATTCAACTTATCACCTTCAAAAACAATACTTAAACGATTTAAAATTAATAACTAAAGCTCTAAACGCCACGGTAAAATTAATATATTGAAATAAAAATAAAAATTCATGTAATAAATCTATTTTTTTATTGAGTTTTGTATTTTGTAATAAAAAAGTTTTATATAGACACAAATCCTATGTTATTACAAGCTATCATCGCCGATGACGATAGTAGCTCTAGATTATCTTATGGGACGCTATCAATATCGAATAATTCTCAAATTTATCATATTCACGATTATAGATATATTACTGATGATAATATCACAAATGTGAGTATCTAAATATAAATTTTTATCTTCTTACTAATCTATTTTTTTCTAATAGCTAAGATTTGTGCAGCCTTACGGGAAATCGCTTCAAATTCATGAATTCCACGAATCATATATAATTGTAAAAGGTTTCTTGAAACATCCATTCAAAAAATTGAGAGCCATATTTTACAACTTATCGAACAACAATTCAAATTACATTCCCATCTTTGTTAATGTCATTCTACAAAATTGTCAGAACGATAGCATAAGTAAAATACTTAAATTTCACTTTATAATAATATGGAAATTTATCATATGTAGTCTTTGATTTGCCCAACTTTATAACCAGTTTTGGAAAAAGTAAAATAAAAAAATTTATAAATAAAATATATATTTTTTAGCCCTTTACATTGATCAATCGATTGTTTTTGATTATGTGTCAGTTAAAGGAATTTACAATCTGGTTATCTCAAACGAAAATTCGACAATTTTTATAAAGTTATTTTTAAGATTATATAAGATTCATAAATGCATATCCTAAAAATAAATAATCATAACAGAAATCTACCCTTATATCCTCTCAATAATGTAGACACTCACCCCAACCTATTCATAGATATAATATATACATCCGTTATTCAATTCTATTATGGCCCGCTTACCTACAATTTGATTATGTTTGATATACCATTTAAAAATATGAAGTTGGCGTTAAATTATTGGGGAAATTTCTCTATCTCACGAAATACGAAGGTCAACATAATTAATAAATTTTGATAAAAATTATAATAGGTTTATCTAATGGTCATGATATGACCCATCTATCTTTATTAGTAACTAAAATATACATTTCTAAATGTATTCCCCAAAATTAGTTCCAATAGATTAATTAAAAAAAAAATTTGTATTATTTTCGAGGTGTTTTTCCCTAAACATTATTTCCCCAAATTTTTTAGAGTTCCATTATCTAAAAATTAGTGTATAATATATTAAATATATTTTTTTTATGCCAAGTAAGGCATTCATATTTCATATATTAGAACAGTTCTTAAAGAAATTAGGTCTAATTTTTTTTACAAATTCCCAATTCCAAAATGTTTTTAATGAAATATAAAATAAGATGACAATAGAGGTGAACTCCAATAAATCTTCACTTTGCACTATTCGACTTCTTGGTATCAATGATGGTGTTAAATATAAAATTAACCTAGAAAGGAATAAATATGTAATGAAAAATATATTATTTATTCTATAAAATATAATATTAAAATATCACCTGTGAAAACACTGAATCTTATAAATCATTTATCATTGCTATTTTATATTTTTAAGGCAATCATCGAACAACAAAACACAACGATTACCATAAAAAATCATCAAAATAACACTATCGATAATATTTTGAAAAATAATTATATAGTTTATAGCATAGGATGTCAATTGAGAATTAATTTGTCAGGAGATGAAGATAAAATTATAAACGTGACTACATTTTCTACATGGAAAATTATGAACCGTTTGTATCTATAGATTTTTTATAATTATTTTTTATTATAATTTTAAATTTTTTGTGTTAATATATAATAAAAATTTCCTGTTTTACTAGTAGCCTTCCTATTTAGCCCGATTAAATAATTGTCTCATGAGGTAAACATTTAAATTTGGAAACAAACTACTTATTTATCCTGGGTTCACTTTAAGAAAAATTGTTTGATTTATAAAATTTAATCGGTTTAATGTTGTATATATTTTTATATAATATGTTTATTTGATATGTACTAAGTTTATAAAATAATAATGTTAATATACTAATTTATAAAAAGATATATATATTAAATTTATTATATAAATGTCAATTTTTAATTATTTTACTGCTATATATGATATAGATAATTATTTTTTCTTGTTATAGAAAACGTCGTAAAATAATATTTGTAGATATATATTTAAATATTATTTTTCACTTTTTTTACTTATAATTTAACCAAAATAAAGCACTACTGATATCCTTAATTTTGATCTAAAATCCCTACGCATCTTGAAATATTTAAACATGGAAATTGTCAAAATATGTATTTATAGAAGATTTTATTTTGAAAATTTTATTCTATATAAAATATCCATTCAAATCTGATATTTTATATAAATTTTATCCTTGGGATCAATTCCAGATAATACTCATTTTCGAACCAATTTAGCCAATTCCCAGCAAATTTTTATTTCTAAAAAAAAGTAACTTGCCAAATTATTTTTTTTGTTTAATAAAATATTTAAAAAAAATCTTATCTTGCTATTCTCAAGCGCCATTTAATCGTTAATAAAAAAACAAAGCATATGGTTTTTAATAACGATTAAATAATGTCAAATTTATGTTATGAAAAAAAATTAATTGAATCAGATATTTTCCTAAGTTTGGAAATAAATTAAAAATTAGCTGGAAACATGTTTAAAAAAATCGTTTTTGACAAAACTTTCTATCGGGAGGTGGCTTTATGCTTTTAAAACAATTTTCACAAAAAGATATTTTGTGTAAATATAAATTTAATACTAATACATTTATACCAGTGGCGTAGACAAGGGGAATTGGGGGTTTAAAAACAAGAAAAAAACTTTAATTATATAATTTGTATTGTTAAATAAAATTTATAAATTTAATAACATAAATTATATAGTTAAATATCTATTTAATCAACTGGAAAGAACAGGCAATATGAAGTATTTAAATCGGTGAAAAACTTTAATGTATTGCGTAATATACTTTCAAATCATGATTTTAAATTTGATATTTAAGTTTCCTACCTAAGGCGTGCCATAGTTTTTATTTCGCTTGTAATTGTTTTTCATTTATTAATTAGAAAAATTGATTGTTATATCTCTAGAATTGTTCATTGCTTTAATATTCTTTCTAGCATGATGTCGTTCTTGATAATTTATTTATATTTTGCTAATAATATTTAAACTATCTACCAAATGGGTTGAATCCCTAAAAAATATGAAATATCCCCTATGACAAAATTATAAGAGATAATGCTTCCATATCCTTGTATGATTTAAGAATTAGTATGATTTGGTTACTTTTTTTTATGTAGCTAATGAAATTGATATATGAATTTATAAATAAGGTATTAAATATTAACGCAAACTATATAATTACAATTCTATATTCTCGGTTTATGTATGATAGCAATTTTGAGCATTTTTTTTTTATTCACTAGAGGTGGTGCGACAATAATATATAAAATCTTAATTAATTTCTTTTATCATATCATATCACTCTGGTTCTTATTTTATAGTTACAAAATGTTTCATTTCTAATATGGCATCCCTGCCTTGTAAATAACTTAAGGCTTCAATACATTTGCATAATTTCTTCTAAAGATTTTTAGTGTTTTTGTTTTATCAATTATTCTGATATAAGTTAATATGGTTAGTGTCATGGCTATGACTGCGAATTAACCAGCATCTATTATTTGTTTGGCTATGCAATTTAAGATTATTATTACAGCTGCTGAGAGCATATGATTGCATATTTTATAAGCAATAGTGGTCAACTGTGTAGTTGTTTATATATCATTAAAAATGGAAGATAATCTTTTAGAAATTTAATATCTCACAATTTTTTTCTCAATTACTTATCAAGTTTCCATCATGTCATTTAAGAGGAAACTCTCACCACCATACAGTTTTATGATTTGAATTAGTCGTTTATATTCTCTTCTCCAAGAATTGTTGATTTGGTTAGGCCTATAAATTTTTCCTTATTAGTTCATTCTATTAGTGTTGTTAAATGGCTCGTTTTGAGCCGATTTTTAAAAACGGCTAACTCAATATTTCGTCCAGAAAAATATTACGCAAGCCTCAAGATTTTGCTCATAGAAGGAACAAAGGTCTAGGCATATATTATCGAAATCTCGAGGCTTAGGCAATATTTTCCTGGCTAAAATATTGAGTTAGCCGTTTTAAAAAATCGGCTCAAAATGAGCCGTTTAACAACACTACATTCTATAAAACATTGTCTAAAAATGGTAACAGAGTGTTATATTAGTTTCTTGACCTTTTGTCAATGTAAGTTGCTAATTTTATAATATATAGTTTTTAAAAACCATTATCAATTGAGGCATATGTATAATTAATTAAATTTTTTTATCATTTGTAATTCTATAGACGCAAAATTTTTTTATATCAGCAATTGAAAATATTAAATAGATTTTGTATTAAAAAATTTTTTTAGAAATGCGTTATATTGTTTTAATTATTTATATGCCAGTTTTTGTTTTACTTTAATTTTAATTTTTACTTTTTAATTTTTTACTTTTATTTCTCTTATATTAATTTTAATTTTCTTTTATTTTGATTATGTTTTCACTTTGTATTTGATTTTGAATAAAGATTTAATAGCATATTTTAGTATATATATTTTTTATTTCTATTTGATTAGGTTCTGATTCCCAATGTCAAAATTCCCAATGCCAAAAACTATTAATTGCATAATATAATAAATGACAAAATATGAAATTCAGATACTTACAGAGTTAGCAAATTTTTAAAAATTATAATATATTAATATAAAACCCGGACGAAGGCCCGCAAATTAGGGGTATGGGGGGCAAAGCCCCCCATAAAATTTTTTTTAGTTGAGCCCCCTGAGATTGTATAGGCTAGCGACGCCCCTGCAACTTTATAATTTTGAATATTTTAATCAAAAAATATTATAAAGTCAGTTCCTCATATTACATATTCTTTATTTTAATTTTGTTATTTAAAATCAAATTCTTAAATCAGAATAGCCAGTTAATCTAATAATAACTCACCCGTTATCTATCTCGTTAAACATTTAAATTTAATTATCATTCATGAAAAACTATTTAGTTTAATCTTTGATGATGACGGAGGTTTTTAATAATATATTAGTTTTATTAAACCACATTCTTATAAAAGAAAATTGTACTAAATCATAGTCAGTCATGCTACTTCAATCTGGTTCATTTTCATAGAGCCAGTCAAGGTAAAAAAATTTGCGAAATTTTATAAATATCATTTTGTATCAGTATATGTCCTAAAAGCTCTTTTACAAAATTAATTTTTTAATTTTAAAATTAATAATGTATAAAAAAATTAATATATTTTTACCCATCCCCCATTCCCCATTAGGATTGGTTAGAATAATTTCAGGAAAAATATCTTGATTATCTTTTATTTAAT